ACAAACAAATAATCGCAAAATAAAAACAACCGCCTACCCTCCACCCCTAAAGAAAAACACAATCACGGAATTTCATCCGTGCCGAATGACGTTCAAAGAAACGGTTACAGCCGTGGGGAAGTTTGGCAAAAAAAAAAACCTCTCCTCGTGACCCGACGGACCTAAGGCAGCGTTCTTCATTGCGAGGCCCGAGGGCCACTGGTGACCCCTGGTGACCTTTAGTGCGGCCCCCTGACGCGCGGCCCGTACAAACACGTGCATACAACCCTTCGTGTCGGAGAACGGCCCAACGAGGCAAATATCGCAGAGCTGTGTGCCATATCTCTTCAGGTAAATTATAAGATTATAAAAAAAAAACTAAAAAAAAAACTATAAACGATTTAAATTTCTATTTAAAGCTTTCGTGACTGCAGGGATTCATCTTCTTGGTTCTTTCGGTAAAGTTTCGTAGAAGGGAAATAATAATAATCCCATATCTGCATTTTCCATAAATATGCTAAATTCATCTGCTGATAAGCAAATTCCTTTGTCAAGGCGCCCTTCCTCCCCTAACCCAGCTTAAATATACGCTGCCAAGCTTGGTGGTGTTCATTCAGACGCTGTCTTTCCGACAAACCTGTTCTTCACCTGAGGACGGCTGCTTGCGTTGTGGCCGAAACGTCGTGAGAATTGTATTTAATTATGTTTTATTTGTATTATTTTATTATTTCCCTTCTACATGACTTTACCGAAAGAACCAAGAAGATATAAACGATTTGTTTTAATTTGACCAAGTAAGGCCCACTGAGCTATGTAGCTCTTTGTCAGAAGCCACCTGGACCACGAATGACAGCTCAACGAAGTCGCCTAATCACGTAGAAATGCATCGCAGCAGCCAGGTAACTCTAAACGCATGTTCATTCTAAAATGTGGAGGTGAACCAAAAAAACACCGGAGGGGAAAAAAAACCCGCGCGACCACGGGGAGAGCATGAAGACACCGGCTCGGAGGAGCCCCCATTCTGGCCACGCGCCAGACTCATTAGCGAACATCTCCCGCTCCGGGTCGCTCGAGTCGAGGCCGCTCGACGGCCTGAATCCGTTGCGCTCTTTGATTTCGACTCGGAGCTCGTAGGCTGTCCCCAATGCGCCCTCGGGTTGTTCGCAATGATGCCCGACGTTTTGCTCCCCGCGCTGCGAGCCGACTCAGGAATTGAACGAGGGTTCCTGATGTCTGGCCATTGGCTCCAGGTGGTAGATTGCTGCGTGGCAGGATCGTGATAAAATTTGCGACCGCTTTGGGCAGGCCTCCATCCAGCAGTGGATCGATCATGCCTGCTGCTGATGATGATGATGATGATAATACTGTTGCCGATGGCAGAGCGAGCATCCATAAATGTTGCTTACTTCTTACACATCACGAGGGGGCCGGGGGCTGTGATCGAGATGTATAACAAGCGTACTGCTGAGTGCATGTCGTGTAAGGCGAGGAGAAAAATTTGAAATCGCAACACATCGTGCATCCCGCGTTGCAAGATTTATTTTGTCATTATTATTATTATTGTTGTTGTTATTAAAGGAACACAAACGCCCTGCAGTCAACATATGTCACGGCTGAAAGTCAATGTACGATACAAAGAGAGAGAGAGTGAGTGCCGTGGGAAGGCTCTCAATGAGGCTCACAGCAACAGATGCAGTCCATAGAAGTGTAAATAAAACACGTGACCGGCGCACACTCTCATCAGCTACCGCATTGTGACAGCGCCTTCACGTTCAAACGCAGCTCCGTTGCCGTGGCAATGCCATTTAATTTGTTTCTTCAACTCCTTTGACAATTGTTCATTAGATTTTCTTGTTTTTATATATATACAAAGATAAAGAGCCAATGTCTAGCCTTCAACAGAGGGTTGGGGCAAAGTGCTGTGAGCGAGTAGCACCTATGAAGGCCGGAAACGGTGCACGATGGGGTGGTGTGGCCAGCAACACCACGCCCGGCCGCCTTTGTCTCCCGAGTACTGATTTGTTTTTCACCGCACCAGGTGCTGTACTCATTTAAGGCTGAGTCAACCTAAAGGGAGGGGGGGGGGCTTTCGTCGTGAGTAGGAATTCGGGTGGCCGGGTTCGTAACGCAGTGCACTGACCACGACACTACCGCTCCCCGTATATGCACAAAGACAAAGATCCACCGAATAGGCTTTAACAAATCTTTGTGGGCAAGTATAGTAAGGGAGCATCTCTATGAAGGCCAGCACACACACACACGCATACATACACACATGCACACACGCAACCTACTGAAAAACATAGTCGACTGTGGTAACCTCATTGATCTGTACAGGATAAGAAGACGGCAATAATAACGTCAAAGTTGTGTTTGAACGCTTGTCACATGAGTCATTTGTGTAGAATTCCAATGTCGAAAATATTAGATTTTTGTATTTTAACAAACGACTTAGAAAATAAATGTACATATATAATACAGGAGGATACACTTTTGCATTTACCCAGTTAGAACCATTGGAACAACCTTGGCCCCACATATCCATGTTTTACCGGGGTATGATGTGCGTACATACATATATATATACAGCACGTGTATCTCAAAGTAAATAATTTCTGCTTCATCAATTATATACGCTGCCTGTAATGCACAGGGCTGTCTACAAAGGTATCGTCGTCATCCACTATTAAATATTCATCATTCCGCGGCAGTTTGAGCGAAGACAATTCAATTATACACACATACAAGATCCCTCCCGATAGTCTCACCAGACTGTTGGGGCAAGTGCTGTTAGCGAGTACACACGCGGCAACAACAACCGCCCTTCAGCACGAAGCGGAGGCGGTGCCGTGACCAAGGTGCCAGGCCAGGTACACTTTGAAGCCACGTGAAGTGTCGGAAGGCCCGCTGACAGGAGGTCACGGGACAGACCCAGGTGCCATGGGTTGACTGACTGAGATGAGTGGCACATTCATAAACCGTGCTCCCCCACTGTGCTTACTCTCTGTGTTTAAGTCCCCCCCCCCAAAGGCGCTCCGCTCGTTGCTGTGAGGGTCGCTCCTCTGCCCTCCGTTGTTGCTGGAGGGCGACTGCCTCTCACTGCCCAGTAGCGTCCTTCACGAGCCTCCTCCACAGAGGCCGATCTTGACACCGTTGGTACCAGTCATAGGCAAGTCCACTCAACTCCACTCACGCAACCCCACTCAGACACGCACGTATTTGGTGGTGTGAAGATTTTGTTTTTTTATATATAGAACGAGTTTCATTTGTCTAAACCAGGGGTTGGCAACCTTTAAAAGAAGAAGAGCCATTTTTTTTTTGTCTTTGACGGATCACACGCAGAGCGACCTGGACTCGCACACAGACACACAAGGTATGCAGCGGATGACAACACACATTCTCACTTAAATAAACAAGATAGGTTATGGAATCAACAGCGTCTATTCCATCCCACCCCCCTCAGTTATTGTTTAACAATGCAGTTTGACTGTTCATTTCGTTGTCACCAACACGGCAACCTTGCGTCTATGAGAAAAGATGGTTCGATTTACGAAGGGGGCTTCAGCAACGCGTTGTAGCGTCGTAAAAGCGGGGACCGCCTTTTACCATATTTATTTTATGTAAAGAGTCAAATAAGGTCAGGTTGCCCGCAAGGGGCAGCCGAAGAGCCGCATGCGGTTCCAGAGCCGCAGATTGCCAATCCCTGGCCACTCTAAACCTCCACGCGCTCAACTCGGTGACGCACGTCGAATGGAGATGATTTGAGATCGTGCCACCGTGTGTGATCGCCGTCATCGTTTTATGGCGGGCGGTGACGCGGCGTTCACGGCTTGCCCGTTCGTGGATTCGAATCCAGCATGCCACCCTGATTAATACTGCTGGGTGCATGGGCCATGGAAATACGCGGGTCTGTCTGCCTCACCTTGCACGTGAAACAATCCCATAGACGCCATTCGCAAAACAGGTGCGGTTTTTTGTTTTGGTGTGTGCCCGCGTCACGAGATGCTTTTGCCAAATTAGAGAAATGACACCGCAAATGTACTTCATTGGGCTAACGCACGGCTGGAGCAGCCCCCTCGCTGTGAAACTATTGCAGACTGAGTGGTGGCCCTGCGCGTGGACACTGAAAGTACTCTATCGTTATAATCTAGGGTCCCATTATTATTTTGAATAATCCTGTTACGTGCTGTTGAATACCAATCGAGCTTTTGAGTAAAAAAAAAATCTAGTAGTAATGGGGGGAAGCGATGGCAACCTTGCAGTGTCGTTCGTGCACTGGTTGCACTGGACTGGACGAAAGGTGCCATGAACCCTGCGACATGAGTGCCATCGAATATCCAGAACTGGTCCTGGCTCCTAATCAGCGTGGTAAAGTCGAGCTAAAGAGGGCTCCTCGCCCCCCAAGACTGACACAGCATGAAGAGGCCTTCATTCAGCAGTGGATTGACAGAGGATGATAATTATTGTACTCGATCTCCAGTTCGAACTGCCGATTATAATTATTTACGAATGGATGGCACCTGTTTAGACAACCCTGTATATTCTGAAGAAGGCCTGCTGTCATGAATATCAAGTTGCTTGTTGTTGTTGTTGTTATTCCTTTTCCCCATCGCGGCCATAAAAAAAAATCATTGCTGATTTTTTTTTTGGTATTTTATTTTGTATTATAATTTCCTATACAAAAGGCATTCACACGAACAATAAACAACCGGCACGGGGGCCTGCAACGGGACGGTCAATGGCCTACCTGCTCATCGTCTTGGTTCTTTCGGTAAAGTCACGTAGAATGGAAATAATAAAATAATAAAATAAAACATTATAAAATAATTCTCACGACGTTTCGGCCACAACGCAAGCAGCCGTCCTCAGGTGGAGAACAGGTCTGTCGAGAAGACAGAGTCTGTCTTCAGGTGGAGAACAGGTATGTCGAGAAGACAGAGTCTGTCTTCTCGACAGACCTGTTCTCCACCTGAGTACGGCTGCTTGCGTTGTGGCCGAAACGTCGTGAGAACGTCGTGAGAATTATTTTATCATGTTTTATTTGTATTATTTTATTATTTCCATTCTACGTGATGACTTTACCGAAAGAACCAAGAAGATGAATCCCTGCAGTCACGAAAGTTTTAAATCGAGACCTACCTGCTCTGGGGTAGGTCATTAATCCCAGGTGCGTGTGAGCGTCCCAGCGATGGGAATGGTTTTTTTCTTTTCTTCAGACGATGAACACTGCAGCTCTGCGTCGTGACGAGGAGTCGGTGGGGGGAACGCAGCGGTGCTCCTTGTAAGGGGAGCCCGATTTGGTAACGGTGTGGGGGGGGGGGGTGTCTCGTGAGAGAGAGTGTAGGCCTCGCCAGCTATCGCGTCTGTCTCTCTCTTTCTCTATAGGGTGCATCATAAAAATGGTTTAAACACTTCTGAGCATTTGCAACGATACCACAAGAAATGTGCCTCCGGGCTCTGGAGACCACCTGGAGAAGATGCCAGGCAATGTGTTGACAATGATGGTGAACAAAGTGGGAGACTCTTTGACTTTTCGCAGCTATTAACATACATTTGTTATCACGTTACAGTGTATTATCCTTTCTTTTCCATGAAAAACGATAGTCCCATATGAGTATTAACATTTTTGAAAGCACTCTGTATGTAGCGGAGTGCTCTGTGATGATGTGCAATCTTCTGTTGTTATTATTATTCATCTCCTAGTGGGGTTTTGTTTTTGAATTCCTGGCTCAGTCAGCGCGCAGGCACGGCCTGTTTGACCACCGTGGATGGATTAAAGTCGTTAATCCAGACAACAACAACAACAAAACCATCGATGGTTCAATTCCACGGCCACTTCAAAAGCACGCGGGGTGGCGTGGAGGGGGAGACAAAAAAGCTCTCACTCTCAGCAGCCCTTGAAAGTTGTCCGCGAATCAGCGTCCTGTCATTCTCTCCACGACGGGCGACTTTACGCAAATCTAAGTGAGCGCGACCTCCCGTCTGACTGTGCTTCGCGGCTCCCTTGCATCGCGCGCGGGCCGCTATTTCAGCTGCGCTGCAGCCAGCTGTGGCTCCTCGACGTGTCCACAGAGACGGCGGCGTCCTCGCGCGAACGCCGCCTCTCGCTCTCCCCGTCGCCGCTTTCGGCGTCCATGAGGGGCAGCCGCGTGTCCCAGAGCGGGGTCGGCCTCGGCGCTCTCAGGCGGTGGTGAACGCTGGGCCACGCCTTCACGTCCATGCGCCTCTCGGCGTGCGTCTTCCTCACCTTCAGAGCGCCGCACGTCAACAGGCCCAGCAGGCACATGGACGCCAGCGCGCCGCCCACGGCGAGGGCGAGCGCTCGGTGCCGCTTGACCGGAGCGGGCGCTTTGGCCGCCGGAACCTCGGCCAGCGCCGTCGTCAGGTTCACGCAGCGACGCAGCGTTTGCCGGTGAGCGCCCAGCGCGGACAGGCACGCCTCGTACGCCGTGGAGGGCCACAGGTGCGTGAGGTTGTACTCGCGAACGCCGACGGGGACCCGCGCGGAGAACGATACGCGGGGTCCTTCCGGCCTCGCGGAGGAACCCGGCTGAGGTGGCGACGGCGGCGGCGGCGCCGACCACCAGCGGAGGTCGCAGGACGACCCCGCGACGCCGTGGCCCGCTCTCCACGTCAGCCGGGCCGAGCGCGACCCCACCGCCGTCACGTCCAGCGTCAAGTCCGCGCCGCCACTTGCCTGGGCGGGGCGCGAGCCGTCCACCTTCACCATGACGGCCTTGGTGTCGAGGCCCTCGGAGTTGCGCGCCACGCACGTGTAGAGCCCGGCCTCCTCGAAGCGCGCGTCCAGGATCTCGAGGGTGCCCTCGTCGGAGAGCCGGTAGCGCCTCCACGCGCCGCCGCCCCCGCCGCCGCCCCCGCCGTCCTCGTCGTCCTCCCTCGCCACTCGCTCGCCGCCCGGCGTCACCCAGTAGACCGACGCCTCGGGCTCCGCGAGCGCGCGGCAGTGGAGCGCCACGGCGGAGCCGGCGCCCACGAGGACGTCGGCGGGGAGGACGCCGCCGGGGATGGCCGGCAGGCAGCTGTCGGCGAACTCGGTGGGGCCCACGTCGCGCACGCGTCGCCCCGCGTGCTCGGCGGGCGAGGCGCAGCGCATCCCCCACGGCTCGACGAAGCGCGCCGGGGGACGCTCGCCGCTCATCCAGCGCGTGATGCAGTCGCAGCGCAGCGGGTTGCCGTGCAGGCCCACCTCGCGCAGGCCACGCAGCCGCTCGAGCGCGCGCCGGTGCAGCGCGCTCAGCCCGTTGTCGTTGAGCATGAGCGTCTCGAGGGCGGGCAGCACGCCGAACGCCTCCGGGTGGACGAACGACAGCCGCGGGTTGTTGGTCACCTCCAGCCGCGCGAGCTCCGGCAGGTTCTCGAAAGCGCCGCCGTCGATGGACACGAGCTCCAGCATGCTGTTGATGCACAGCTCCTTTATGTGAGACATGTCCCTGAAGTCGCCCGCGCGGATCACCTGGATCGGGTTCTTGTTGAGGTCCAGGAATTTGAGGTTGGGCACCTTCTGCAGTGCCCGGCTGGGCACCCAGGCCAGGCTGTTGTTATAAAAGGACAAGCTCTCCAGGTTGTCGAGGCCCATCAGTGCGTTCTCGGGTATCGACCGCAGCCCCATGCCGGCCAGAACGAGGCTCAGCAGCCTCGACAGGGGCATGAAGTTCATGTCGCTGAGGCCGGCGACCGGGTTTTCCCCGATCATCAGTATCTCCAGGTTGGGCGTCGCCTCGAACCACCTGCTGTCGACGCTGCGCAGCTCGTTGGCATTGAGGTGGAGGCGCATAAGGTTGGCGAGGCCGGCGAACGCGCCGGGCGCTACGCTGCCGATGCGGTTGTGGTTGACGTAGAGCTCCTGCAGGCCGGCGAGCTCGCGCAGGCAGCCGTCCGCCAACTCCGTCAGGGCGTTCTCCTCGAGGTGGAGCGACACCAGGTGGCTGTGGTTGGCGAGGCCCGCGTCGTGCACGCTGCCCAGCTCGTTCTGCGAGAGGTCGAGCTCGCTGAGGTCGAGCAGCGGGCGCAGCTCGGCGCCCAGCGACGCGAGCCCGTTGCTCTGCAGCAGCAGGACCTGGGTCGCCGCGGGGAGGCCGCGGGGAGCGCGCAAGAGGCGCGCGTCGTTGCAGTCGACCGTCAGCGCCTCGCGGCACGCAGAGCGCGGCGTGAACCAGGGCCGCGGCTCGCAGGCGCAGGCGCGCGGGCACTCCTCGGCGCGCAGCACCGCCGCCCGCAGCGCCGCCGCCGCCGCCAGCGCCAGCACGACGTGGGCGCGCGAGACCGAGTTCGGTGCCGAAGCCGCCATGGTTTCAATGGGGGGGGTGGATGGGGCGGGGAGAATGCGAGATGGCTGGCCGCGTTGAGCGTTGCGTGTTTAGCGCTCGGCAACGGAACGCTTTTCAACGACTTCTCCGTCTAAATGGACCCGCTGTGGCGGAGGACCGACACGAATTCGTTCTGCTCGGCAGCTCTTTGGCGGCATTCGAGAGGAGAGAAGCGGCAGCGCGTTGAGAACGTCGTGGGGCTTCTCCCCGTGCCTGCGCCGTCCGGCAGCCCGACGTTCTCTGCCGGGAGGGCGGCAGCCCGAACAGCGCCCACGGTGCACGCAGCATGCCCCACGTGAGTGGGGGAGCACCTGCCAACACACACGCACACAGCGTCAGCGTCTCGTCGCTCGGGCCATGCTTCAGGCGTTCAACGCCTGCACCGTCAAACTCCACTCCCGACCGCTGTCATAGGTCAGCCCCGGGTCAACTGTGGCGTCGGGCAGCTGCAGCGACTCCACTCGTCGTGATCCTGTGCAATAAGTGGGAGCTCTTCACATGCAACCTCTCAACACACGTTATCGCAGTCAACATAGAACATTGGGCCAACGTTGGCCCAACGGCCCCAATAACATGGCAACCTTGGCCCAACGTTGCACGTTTGCTCGCCCGGCTATGGGGGAAAACATAATTCGTTTCGCCGGCGAGTTTCTCCGGACTTCAAAATGCACATCTGTCCATCGACGCAGACCGCGCCCATTGATGATCCGATCTGAGAGTCAGCGCTACACTCGCAGTGGTGGAAGAGTTGACAATATAAATTGTGCATTTTCTTTGGGTCTTTCGGGAAAGCCACGTTCAAAGAAAACAACGAAAAAAATGTTTCTTTGAACCTATCTACGTGACTTTACCGAAAGACCCAAAGAATATGAATTCCTGCAGTCACGAAAGCTTTGAGTCAAGATTTAAGTTGTGCATTGCTTTACATTTTTCGGCTGAGAAGTCACCTGCCATGATAATACTTGGTTTGGTCAATTTCATAAATAATAAATGATACAATAAAAATGTGATTTCTAGGCAGCAGCAGGAGGGCAGTTTTGTAACCATAGGATACGAACTCCCATCATGCCCTGCATGTCACGTGACATCGCCGTACTGCGTGTATAATGCACGCAGTCTTGTTTTAGACCACCAACTCAACATCGTAAGTGGCCACATTATTTTGGACGGCAGCAAGATAAGGTGACAACAGTTTGCCGGTTTCGTGCCTGTTAGCAATCATCAGTTACATCTTAGCCATCGCTGCCTGCCGCTGCCTTGCATCGCTTTATGCGAACAAGCCGTGGATGCCCAGTGGCGAGATGTTAACTGCCTCGCCTGGTATACAGGGGGTCGTGGAGTTTGCGTGCCTCTCTCCCCGTGGTCGTGTGGATTTTTTTTCGGGTCCTCCGGTTTTACCCTCCACATCTAGAATCATGCGATCAGAATATTTGGCTCCTTTAAATTTCCACGAGATTAGCCACTTTCTTCTTGGTTCTTTCGGTAAAGTCACGTAGAAGGGAAGTAATAAAATAATAAAAATAAAACATAATAAAATAAAATAATTCTCACGACGTTTCGGCTACAATGCAAGCAGCCGTCTTCAGGTCTTCAGGTGAAGACGGCTGCTTGCGTTGTAGCCGAAACGTCGTGAGAATTATTTTATTTTATTATGTTTTATTTTTATTATTTTATTACTTCCCTTCTACGTGACTTTACCGAAAGAACCAAGAAGATGGATCCCTGCAGTCACGAAAGCTTTAAATCGAAAATTAGTCACTTTGTTGAGCTATCATTTATGGTCAGGTCGCTTGTGAAAAAGAGCAATGTAGCTCAGTGGTCCTCACCTGGTAAAATAAAAAATGTAATTAAAAGCCGATGGGGATGCTTTTTCACCGCCAAGGCAGTGAGAAATGAAGCAATCCGAATACTTCCTGTAAATGGTGAGAAAGTGGTCGGACAGAGAGAAAAAACAACCAAGGTGCGAGCGGGCTGGAAACCAGCGAGAGTTTATCATCATTTGCACAGAGAGAGAGAGAGTTGAACTCATTCTGACTCGGAGAAGGCATTGGCCGCCTTTGGGGGGTCTCCGGCAGCAATTATTTATCGAGGCCGCCCCTCTCGGTTTACAAACTCCCATCGATGTGACGGAGGAGACATACACGGGAGATGCAGAAGTGGGTGAGCGAAATGCGGACGGAAAATAAAGATGCAGTGAGACTGGGGGGAATAGGCCTGCAGACACGATCGAGAGATGCATCGGTTACGTTAATTAACTCATCATGCTTGAGATTTGAATGTGAGCTCTTTGATTCACAATGTTGCCTATCGCCTGATGACGCTGGTTGTAATCACCAGCGAAACGTCGTGCTCGAATTGTAGATGTTGTGGGTTTACTCTGTAATACACCGATGTGCTGAATTAGTCAATAATCGGCACGGTTTTTTTTTACATGACAAACCTTACTAATTGAGTGCTGGTGGGTTTAACGCGATTTAACAAAAAAATACCCTTTATTACGAATGATATTAGTCGCAAAAGCCTACGTGTTATATCGATACATCTCTATAATTTTATTTTCATAAATCAAGTGTCCCCTTGCAACAGCTTGGGGTTCTAACATTTTGCTTTGGCCTGCTTACAGCCTCACGCCCGCCACGGCTCATTCATGCCGCACAGCAAAACCAGAGTTTTTTTTGCGCCTGTCTCGTGAATGGCTGCGATGGGATTTGTTGACGTCCGTTACGTGGACACAGAGAAGCAGATGGGGCCAGCCAAGGGAGGCGGAGGAGGCTCCTGCGAGGATGGCTCGCTTATCGACAGGTCGGGGCTCGCGGAAACGCTTATCGGCAGAACCAGCAGCAGAGGCAGATACTGAGAAATATATATATTTTTTTTTAAATAGAAAAGAATGTAAAGCTGCAGCCGGGAGTCTTAATGGTTGCTATTCTCGATGACCTCAGATGCCACGAAACGGCATTACTCCGTATAATTTTCCAGCAGCTTAATTGCACCGAGGCAATTCATATTGTCATGTTTTTTTTCATTGTTATAATACTAATCTACGTGATGGCAAGCCGTGATCTATCCACTGCTGGATGAAGGTCTCCCCAAGCCGCCGCCGCCACCCCCTGCAGATCCTGAAATGCAATACTATAAAACATTTTCGGGGGCACACGGCCCGAGGGTGGAGATTTTTCAGCGTTCTCCGACGATAAACAGACGCCCTCCGATGTGTTGCGCGCTGAATTGCACCGCGAATTCAAATAAATCTGGGTTTGCCGTCCACGATCGACCTCAGTTATTGAGTGCAGCGAGCTGATGGCCTCCACCCGGACACAAACGACTGCACGCTACATTTTGTCGAATCACTTTTTTATTTATTTACGCACGTGACGCCTTTCTGACATAATTCTGCCACTCAACGCGCCATCGTCATTTTTAAAACTCAAGATGAAAGCATGTGAGCTATAAGCTCAGAGACGAGGAATAAGAATACAGCACGTTCATGGGGTCCATCCCTAAACGTGAGCCCAGAATGGTAATGACCTCGCCAACCACCTCCCCCAATGAAAATCCCTTCCCCGCCCCCGACTGCTCCGATGAGTCCGGCGTGCCAGATGCCGTTGACGCAACTGGTAATGCTTTGTCCAGAATGTCAGGGATGTTGCAATGTATGATGTGAGGGAGGATATGGAATAAAACAATATTTTTTGTTATTTAACAAAAATTCTCAACACGTGATTAGAAAGATTCTAAACAATAAAATAGAAATGAACAAACTGTCTGCAGTTTTAAATGTAAAGAGTATTTCGCGTCGGATAAATGTCCACACGATAGGCCACTTCATTGGGCTATCATTTGTGATAGCCAGATCGCTCAGTGGGCCTTACCTGGTAAAACAAAATAAATAGTTGAAAGTGAAAATTAAAGCAAGCTGTGGCTGTGAGTTAGTGCAAAGAGCTGTGTTGTTATTGTTGAGTTGGGAGTGTAAATGTCGTGATGATAGAGTCGAGTGTGCGGATTGCTTCGGGGAGGTTGTTCCAGAGTTCGCGGGTGCTGTAAATGAGAATTTAACTGTCCAACCCCGTGGTTTTTTGCGTGTTTGGTTGTTGGTGGTTGGAGTGGGTTGGGATGTGGAGCGATGTGATCTGTTGTTTTGCTTGATCTGTATGAGGTTCATGATATATATTAGGTAGCCACTGAAGCTATGCACTTTTAAATCATCTGTATTGAACATTCATTTTTTTAGAACTGCTTTTTGTGTTTAGTTTGTTCTCCTTGTCCCTGCACCCCCGATTAGCACGGTTAGCTGCGTACGGTGCAAAAGAAGTTCAACGTACAACGCTCTGCAACGCTCTGTATGTTATATTTGCAGTTTTCAATGAATTTGAGAACCAAAAATTCCGCATCTGATAATTAACAAAACAAACAAACATCGGTTTAATCCGGTTTAATCGGCAAGTGGCGAACGTTTCTCCACGGGGGTAAGGGGGTGTTGTGGTGGTGGTGGGGGGGGGGCGTTGTGAAGTGAGCGCTCGATCACGCGTGGACATGCAGCGGCTCTCATTGCGCGACGTCTCCTCCCGTGGACCTTCGCAACAACGCACCGGGTGATGCACTGCTCACTGCTCTCGCGAGACGATCGATGCGGACATCACAATTTTTATAGAATTGGAGAAAACTATGAAACTAATCATTATTATGATGATTATCTCAACTTGTAACGCATCGTACGGTATTAGCGCACTCTCAAAGGGAGGAAACGACTCGGAGGCGCACGGAGGAACCACAGACAAGCGGGATTGGCAGCAGCCACGCCTGAGCCGGTGCCAAACGGTTGCCCGATCTCTGCGGCCCTCTACATATGAGGGTGTTATTCGCCATTGAATGCGGGTTTTCACGTAGTAGGAAACTGGAGAAATGCGAGGAAACGCACGCATGCGATGGGGGAAAAACTCTACCCCGTACAGATGGAACAGGTGGAGTCAACATCTTTGCTGCTCCTCGACATCCACGTGATGAGAGTTTCACAATTCTTGTGCGGGCAATCCACCAACCTCCACAGTGCTGGATTGCAGGCCAAAATAAGAGGAAAAATATATAAAACTGGCGTATCGGAGGATGTTGGTGAGGTGGGCGGTGAGTGGGGGGGGTTATTTTCATTGTGTGGGGCCAGGCAAGGCACCCCGAGGAGTTGACATTGTATTGCATTTCTATTAAAGGCATGTGGCTCAAGGTTGAGATGCGTGGGCCGGGAGCAGGCATTATAAAGTAGCCTCGCCACCAAACTCGGTGACCCAGAATAAGTGGTTCGGCACCATCTGCGCCG